GGATCCGAACACTGAATCTAGATTTAGTCCCAAGATCATGCAAATACGCTGTAAACCAGGTGGTTTGGAGGATCCAAATCCAAAAATTGAATCTAGATTTAGTCCCAAGATCATGCAAATAAATTGTAAACAAGGGTAAACAAGGTGGTTTGGAGGATAAGGATCCCACAACTGAATCTGGATTAGTCCCAAAATCATGCAAATTTGCTGTAAACCAGGTGGTTTGGAGGATAAGGGTCCCAAAACTGAATCTGGATTTAGTCCCAAGAACATGCAAATACGCTGTAAACCAGCTGGCTTGGAGGATAAGGATCCCAAAGCTGAATCTGGATTTAGCTGTAAACCAGATGGTTTGGAGGATAAGGATCCCAAAACTGAATCTGGACTTACTCCCAAAATCATGCAAAAACACTCAAAACCAGGTAGTTTGAAGGATCAGGATCCGAAAAGTAAGATTTCCAGAATTAATTTTGCATTGTGGATTCGAGGCTTTTGTATACATTATTCTCATCCTTTTTTTTTTGGAAGGATCAGGATCCGCAAATTGAATCTAGATTTAATCCCAAGATCATGCAAATACGCTGTAAACCAGCTGGTTTGGAGGATAAGGATCCCACGACTGAATCTGGATTTAGTCCCAAAATCATGCAAAGACGTTGTAAACCAGGTGGCTTGGAGGATAAGGTTTTCAAAACTGAATCTGGATTTAGTTCCGAAAATCATGCAAAAAATCAAAACCAGGTAGTTTGGAGGATCAGGATCCGAAAAGTAAGATTTCCAAAATTAATTTTGCATCGTGGATTAGAGGCTTTTGTAGACATTTGTCTCATCCTTTTTTTGTGAAGGATCAGGATCCGAAAACTGAATCTAGATTTAGTCCCAAGATCATGCAAATACGCTGTAAACCAGGTGGTTTGGAGGATAAGGATCCCAAAACTGAATGTGGATTTAGTCGCAAAAACAATCAAAACCAGGTAGTTTGGAGGATCAGGATCCGAAAAGTAAGATTTCCAAAATTAATTTTGCATTGTGGATTAGGCGCTTTTGTAGACATTTGTCTCATTATTCTTTTTGCAGGATCAGGATCCGAAAAATGAATCTAGATTTAGTCCCAAGATCATGCAAATACGCTGTAAACCAGCTGGTTTGGAGGATCCAGATCCAAAAATTGAATCTAGATTTAGTCCCAAGATCATGCAAATAAATTATAAACAAGGTTAAACAAGGTGGTTTGGAGGATAAGGATCCCACAACTGAATCTGGATTTAGTCCCAAAATCATGCAAATTTGCTGTAAACCAGATGGTTTGGAGGATAAGGGTCCCAAAACTGAATCTGGATTTAATCCCCAAATCATGCAAATTTGCTGTAAGCCAGCTGGCTTGGAGGATAAGGGCCCCAAAACTGAATCTGGATTTAGTCCCAAAATCATGCAAATACGCTGTAAACCAGCTGGCTTGGAGGATAAGGATCCCAAAACTGAATCTGGACAGAGTCCCAAAATCATGCAAAACACTCAAGACCAGGTAGTTTAGAGGATCAGGATCCGAAAAGTAAGATTTCCAAAATTAATTTTGCATCGTGGATTAGAGGCTTTTGTAGACATTTGTATACATTTGTTTTATCCTTTTTTTTGAAGGATCAGGATCCGAAAACTGAATCTAGATTTAGTCCCAAGATCATGCAAATCACTGTAAACCAGCTGGCTTGGAGGATAAGGATCCCAAACCTGAATCTGGACTTAGTCCCAAAATCATGCAAATTTGCTGTAAACCAGCTGGTTTGGAGGATAAGGGCCCCAAAATTGAACCTGGATTTTGTCCCAAAATCATGCAAATACGCTGTAAAACCAGGTGGTTTAGAGGATAAGGGTCCCAAAACCGAACCTGGATTTTGTCCCAAGATCCTGCAAAAACAATCAAAACCAGGTAGTTTGAAGGATCAGGATCCGATAAGGATGATTTCCAAAATTAATTTTGCATCGTGGATTAGAGGCTTTTGTAGAAATTTGTCTCACTTGTTTTTTCTTTTTAGAGGATCAGGATCTGAAAATTGCTATTTCCAAAATTCTTTTTTTTGAAAGTCCGCAATGTCGCTAATCTTTTGTCTTGGTTTCGGTCCCCAACCTTTTCCGCTAACTGCGGCGCGCGAACCTTTTTTCATTTCCAAAATTCTGTCGGTGACCATAGACTGCGCAAAAACGTTTTTGGTGTATCATCTTAGGGGCGCAGCATTTTGACACCACTCCTCTCCCACTACACTACCTTTCGTCCGCCTCCGCCTGCTCTCAAGTTGGAGATAGTCATGGGATTCTTCATGGGATGTACAATCAACTTGATATGATAAAAGTGGTTTGGGGATATAACTACCCCAAACGAATGGCAATTTAAATGGGGAAAATTGTGAGAAACTTTGGATGACGCTGGGGTATTCAATTTTGAGAGAATTTTGAAATGCTGAAATACTCTGAAACACTTTTGTATGGCCGAATTTGTGGGTTCATTTAACATTTGCACCTTGTTTTTGATAGCCAAATGGGTTGAAACACCTAAGCCGTGGGGAAGACCACAGCAATGGAGCCCTGCAAGATGGCTATGGGTTTACTGCTGTTTTTCAATACCCGTTTAGTCATTAGTTGACAACCTGGGTTAAACGCCACAAATTTGCTTATGGTATACATGAAGGAGATGGTGAACTGATAGCTGGATTGAGACCGAAACGACCCTTTTCCAAATTTCTATAATGACCCACTAAGTGATGTCCGTGGAGTTGCACATTGATTCTGAACATATCTAAGCCATAGATATACCCAAGTAAAATCTAGTCGCAAACCCACTTGACTATGGGGCACCACTTTGCATCCATCATGAAAGAGGATAGGACTCTGCTGCACAGCTGAGGAATGTCTTCACTGACCTGCCGGACACTGTGTTTCCCGGCGAAGATTCTGCTTCAAGCAGCAGATCTGAATCCAATATCCAGAATTTTCACGGATCGAAATCACTAGGATCACTAGGGTACCCAAAGACAATTTTGTTGTTACAGTTTCCCATTTCTGGGCTCCATCACTTTCATAGCTTTGAGAATTCCAACCTGGGGCCCTATATGTGATGCGCACATATTTTGTCTGCCATTATTGGTTACACCCAGCATGTTTGGCCATTTTATTTCCACGCCTGTATCTAATCTCGGTTGCACTTCACTACATGAATGCTTTGAAGCCCCAAGTCTACTTAGTGTACTTTGCACGAACCTGTTCTTGGCTACCGGACAGAACCTATTTTTGGTCAAGTCATTGTCTTTGGCGCTGAAGGGTAATCACGGGAACCCTGCATCCTCGAAATGATCGAGGATCATTACACCAACAGAATTATGGGGTAAATGAAGGTAATGATTTCAACTATGAATCATGGGCCTACACGAACTGGCACTCAAACCAGTTTCTATTACCCAACTCACACTTTCGACTGGCAATAGCCACCTTTGTATTAAGTCACCTCTTCTACGATTCTACGCATTTCCAAGCCACAACAACTAACCACCAACTTCCAAAGTAGCTTCCGTGGACCCCAACTAACCATCATCCACCAGGGTAGTGCCCTCCCCCAGTGAGGTATCCGGCCGTATCCAACGCCCTGGGCGCACCGGGGCGTTTTCAGCTGCTCTGTGACGACCTGGAGGCCGTGGCTGCGGCTTCAACCAGCGCTGCAAAGGAGCCTTGGGGAGAAATGGGGGTTGAAGCAACCAACGGCTGGGGATTTTCCTTACAATGGAGGTTTTTGCCAGCACTTGAATGGGGATTTCACCACCAAAGATGGTGATTTGAGGGCCGCAAACATGGGGATAGAACCAGAAAAGATGAGGGTAAACACCCTTTGCTAATGAAACCTGGCCGGCTGGAAAGGTAAAATCTCTGGGAGTTGGATCAGAAACAGACGGGGCATTCCGACATTCCTACATTATTTGACTGTTGTGAATATTTGAGAACATTGGTTTTATCAAGGTTACACTTGCGATCAAACATGGAATGTGGCTACTTAAGATAATACACTCCTGCAATGGTCTTTGACAGGGAATCCAATGGGCTTGAGGTAGCCACATGTAGGCGGAGTGAATATCTCATGTGATCCCGGGTTGCTGTTCGTCCATGCCACTTGGTGGCCCTCGGCACTGAGGAATCAGCGGGATGACACAAAGATGCGTGCCTGTGTGGTTTGGGACGGGCACCATTGGGGTTCACTCGAACTTTACTTGGGACCAAAGCGCCAAAGTTTCAGCATCCCAAAATGTCACTTCAGCATATTGTAGCCATTTTTCTGTTGAAAACGAACAGATAGCATCATGGTGAACCACTGGGTCGAAGATTTGGAATCAGATTTAGCGGGTTTTCATGGCCTTCTGGTGTTCATCCCACCCAGGTGGCGGGAACGTTCACAGATGGCTTTGGGGACTTTTCCGGATCCCACTTGATGTTCGGGTTGTCAGCTGGGCTTCAAGCCCTAACCCTTCACCCAGCGAAGGTGACACTCCGCTGCTTGGATCCCAGCTGAAGATACACCCCAACATGACTCTAACATATGGAATCCCGAAATATGGCAGCCCAGGAAACGTTCCCAAATTTGTCAGCTTCACTGGGATCAGGAGAGAAAAACGAACGGTGCCTCCTAACACAGATGGACCTTGAGAACCGCTGCTATCCAAACATATCCTGACACTTGCGGTGGACCATCCAAAACGTTTGAGATCATTTTTTGAGGCAACTCTACCAACTGCACGTTTTGATATGAAGAAAGCAGTTTCCTTGCAGCTTTTCCATGATTCATCACGGATTTAAATCAGACTTGGGATTTGTACCCTTAGACATTTCAAACTTCAAGGTGGAGCATTCCAAATTTCCCAGTTTCCTGGTGAAGATAACTGCACACATCCTGGTTAAACCATGTCCATTTTGGTGTTGTTTGGTAGAACAGTTTTTTTCCCTGCAAAACAGCCTGAAACTCGGCATTCTTTGGCAAAAGTTGCTGCCATGGCACCCGACTGGCCGCCCTCGCCCCGGGACTTTGATGGTTCTGCGTACGTCTTCGCGCCCGACGACGAAGCGGGCTATGCGCAGCACTTCCGTGGCGCGGACTGTGGCAGAGAAGCCAATTAAATGGGGAGTTCACAAAGGTTATCACTCCGATTTGATGCAAAATCCTCAGTTTTTCTACGAAGCCAGAATTCGCAATCGGAACAATGAGGATTATGAGGATTTACTGTAACCCACCATGGGGATTAAAACGCATTAGATCCATGAAATTGAGCTCTATATAATCCACAAAAAGGGGGGCTTGAAGCCTCAAAACAGGGTGAAGCTTTGTGAATGATAGCTTGGTTAGTGGATTTCACCAAGAAACATGGGGTTTAAGCAACTATCAAACATACGGATATTGGGCCACATAATAGGAATGTAAGCAGCAAACATGGGAACCAACTCTCAAAGATGTAGATACACCTACCAAAGATGAGGACGTAATCAGCAAACATGGTAAGGAAATGTTAGGAACTAGTTTGTAAAATTAGCCACTCATAATGGGATACAGGGTGAAAGAAGCAAACAAAAATGGTACTTCAACTCATCCAAAAAGAGACCTGTTTGATCCGTTTTTTTTTCCACTTGAGGGGACCAACACCGGCCACATCTCCGACGAATGGATGGACATGTCCGCATGAAACGCTACTTGCGTGTTGTGAATTTGTATCCGTTCATAGATCCTGCAATCTTTGGCTGGTCATGCCCCACAGCAGTTCACCCAAGGCGAGCATGGCTTTGTGGTGGTCGATGACATTCTTGAGCCGGAACAGGTGGGGCTGTTGATTTGTAGGAGGGCAATGGGTTGTGAAGAGCTTGGTGCCACTTGAACTTTAAGTTTTCGGTAGCCCATGTTGGTGAATGAAGCAACATTTTCACGACCAGCAGCTTGTTTGGTTTAAATCTGTCAGCCAGGAGTTGTCCTAATACGGCCACCCGAAATACTCATAGGGCCATAGGGTATCAACATCTTTTAACAATGATGGTGGAATACGGTACTTTCACCCATAGATATACCAAGGAAAAAAGAAAGGTCATTGACCCACAGGTTCTTTGTAGGTCCCTCCAGTGGGCTTTTTGATCACAGAAGAACTGACGGGACCTGAAGGAGGAATTCATGGGTGTGCCAGTTTCTCGAACGATTACTTCTCTCCTAGTTTTTCTCTCTTTTATCGTCGTATCTATCACATCATAGCAAAAGTCTCCATCTTATAGTTTGCAGTTTCCCATTTACGCTCTGGAAATCTAACATAGCCATGGAAGATGTTGTGTTTCTTTTAACAATCATCGTAGAATCTACACATGGGTAGTTTTCCATGGCTATGTTAAATTGACCGGAGGGTCTCCAGATTTTCTTCCATCTCCACCCGGGTTTCCATCGCTCTGCTGCGGCCTTCTTCGCAGGTGAAGGCGACCATTGAAGAGATCTGGAGTAACCGCAGCCTGTTGGGGGGCCATGATGGTCTCGATCCGCAGGTGGGCTGGGTGGAATACCTTTCGGTCATCTGAAAGGACCAGAAAAAGGGGAGGTTAGTAGGTTTCCCAAATATCCCCATGAATCCCCATGAGATTTCCGGTCAATTTCCAATGATCTTCTTTCCGAAATGGCCGAAATTTATCCACTAGATCCCCAGCAAAAATCTGAAATTCTCGTTGTATCCCCATTTCTGCAAAAGGTCCTCGGGCCTCGTGAACAGGAGCCTCGCAGCTGGGACGCATGGCCCGGTGGAGCGCGGAATTTCCTGGACTCCCTCAGCCCCTTGGAGGCGTGGCTGGTGGCTGGTGAAACCTCTGAGATTTTTCAATGGAATTTGAATGGGAACATCCAATTGTTTCAAGCAAATGCAAGAAAATGGTGGAAGGACATTGATGGACAAAATCAGTGGCAGTTCCTGGTTCAAGAGAATTTGAACATGTCGAACAGTGATGCATTTTTTTTCTTGACTTTGGAATAGGGCCTTATGCGGAATGGAGATGATTTTTGCGTCCCAACTGCAGGTCGGACTCTAGAAGTCAGTGGGATAAAGACAACGATGGAGACTTTCTGGAAACTGGGGAGAATTCTTGGGTCTCCCAGTCTCCCAGTTCGAAAATATCACATAGTGACTGTTGATGATATGTTTTGTTGACATGTCACTTAATTAATGCACATTAGACCCATGACTCATATGTTTCTCCATTGCCCACCCCGTGCATTTCCAGATGTCCCTTCCGCGTGGTGAGGAGGTAGAGACCTGGCGGAATCGCGTGAATTGCAAGGTGAACCGAGTCTTTGACGTGTACCCTGGCCCGGGTTGGCGGCTGGGCACCTGTTTTTTCTGACCAAAGTGGGGTTGCGCAAGTAGTGAGTTTGCACAGTATTTTTATTTCATTTCTTAAATACATAGTTTGCACATGTTTGCACAGTATATCACAGTATATTCGTTTTGACGTGTCCAGCTTTAACTGCGTTTCGTCTTGGCTAAACCATCTTCACCAAGGCTGTGGGAGGGACTGCCAGAAATCCTCAGCGACGAGGCTAGCGGCTGTAGGGAAGGGGTGAGAAGATGGGCGTCTGACACGGGGAACACCCCCCTCAGATGGCTATTTTCATTGCGAATATGATGACGCAACGTATTCAAATTTAAGGGTTTCTCATTTTTAGACCAAACCAGGTCACCTCAGGGTTTCTCAAAATGGAGAGGACCCATCATCCAAAAGTCAAAAGTCGCTGGTTTTTAATGGGGAAACTGGTTTTTGGGTACCGCTACTCCCATGACAAGCACGAACAGTACCGGTAAAGTTGGGTACCGGTGTCCAGTTGTGTTTTGCTGTTTTTTTCAAACGAAGCTAGTATTGATAGTATTTACACATTCAACATGTCATACCAGAAAAGTGCTCGATTCATTTCCAGGCAGCCGCGACCGCCTGACACATTTGGATGATAATGATTGCTGTAGATTAAACCTGAGGTCGGGTGTATCAACATCCTCAAATGGTCAATCAGGAATTGTTCCTTTAGTTGTCATGTAGGATTCATTCAATTACATAGGGCCAGAATTACCATATTTATTGTGTAAACCGTCCCAGATGCTGAGTTTTGGTTTGTGGTCTCCTTATGTGCAGTAAGTTCACACGACCACAGAAAAATATCGGTTCCAAGATTAGGAAGGCAAATCAATTTCTTCGTTTGAGGCAACCCCGAAGTGTCTTTCTTTGTTTTCTATCCACAAAAGAATCCATTCATGGGTCATTCAGAGAATTCAAGCTTGGCTCATGAATCATTTTCTATCCTCGCGATATCTCCCACGTCCGAGGATTCGCCTGACCACGGCACGGGTGCCACCAGTTCATCCCTAGTGATGTCGGTGGACCGCGTGGGACGCTCGACGGTGGGTTGGTCAAGTGGGTCATCTAAGCACAAACAACATCACCATGTTCAAGAAGTCCAACAAAAAGACGATGATTTTCAAGAACGCTATGTTTGAGCGTTTGATGACCAAAAAAACAAATGGTTTTCCCGTGTGTCTTCACCTACTTACGCGTCTGCAATCACATTCCTGGAGTTCCTGGAGAGTCTCTGAGGCAGGATCAGCTTCAAACCGTAGACATTTCGTTGAACATTCATAAAATGCCTTGATTTCCCAAATGAGATCCGAGTTCATTTGATTTTTCCTGACATCTTGGCTTCCCAGAAGTATTCAGGGGAACTTGCCGGAACCCCGTGTACTCAGGGGATCTCAGGGGTAGAAAACATGTGGTCCTGTGGATTTTCCCAACAAAACCAATCCATACAACATCCTTAGGTGACAAACTGGGCCTGATCACTACAGGACTCATGCGGCCCACCAAGATGAAGCATGGAGGAAGCTCATTGAGAGGCGCAATTGGGACTTGGGCATTTTACAAACATGGGGGATTTAGCTGCTTTAGCCAACAAAAATAGGGGAGTCCAACCAAGTTAAGATGGGATAATCTCCAACACAATGGAGATAAAAATTCCAGAACCATGGGCCAATAGGCTGATTTCACCCGCATTTCATGGGATTCCCCTGGATGTGTCGGTGGGTCTACCACCGTCGCCACTGGGACGGTGGTTGGGTGGTTGGGTCAGGCCTGACTGGCGAACGAGCCGCAATTGGTTGCATTGGGATCAGAACCCATGGCGGCTCGGCAAAATTAATGTCCCGGATGATGCGAACCCTTTAAAAGAGAAAAGGGGAAACTCATGGAAGATAGTGAGTAAACCTGAGTAAACCTGAGTAAACCCAGCCATCTACCTATATAAAATCAATTTTATATCATCCGAATTTTAGGTACAGCACAGATGGGAAGCCTGGCTTCCCAATGGATTGTGCCTGCAGATTGTGCCTGCAGGTCCTCGCCCGACTTTCAGGCCATGCAAGGCTTGTTGAGCCTGGAAGGCTGGGAAGCCGGCAGTTTTCATCATTCTTTTCACTGGAATGGTGGGATTTGCTATGAGAATTGAGGTCACTATCTTTTTTTGTCACCATCTTTTTTTTTTTTAAATGACCCAACTCTTCAGGTTAGTGCATTATTGACACATCTATTCAGAATGTTTCCCTATAATGGGGAACACTACATCAATAAATATTTTCAGAGGGAAAACTGACTACATACATCAATGTGGGATAGATGGGCAAGTAGGTAGATGCATCCTCCATTTTTTCCGCAGCGGAGGAACGGATGAATAAATGGCTGGTCAAAATTAAGAACCTCAACTTACAGAGATATGGTATCGACTTGCATTTACAGTTCGTAAAGAACTAGCATCTGTGATTCTGCGTCTCTCAATTTTTGACCCTTACCCGGCCTAGATCCGCATCTTGATAGACTCATTCCCCATGTTGCTGGTGAAAACTCATCATTTTGTGGTTTGCGGCTGAAATCCTTATTTTTCTAGCTTGAATTTAAATAATTGTTTCTTAATTCACAGTTCTTGTGGCCTAAAGCCATTGGTATTGTGGCCTCAAAACAAATCGTCCTGCCGTCTTAATTCTCCATGTTTGATTTCTTAAGACCATGTTTTGTTGGTGAGATCCCCATGAAACCACATTTTCATGGCTTAAAACTGCTGAATATCCCCATTTTTCCGCGAGGCAGCCGCAGTTCGGGTGGCTTTGTGACAGTGGTGGGTTTTCAGGAGCACTTCGCACGCTGGGCCCAGGAGCATCCTGAAGGTGCGAGCCAGTGGACAACCTGGAGGGGTTTACCCCAAAAATAGTGTGAGCCTCTGGTAATCAACTGTGGCTGGGAAATCCCCTCATGAATAAATGCAGGTTTATGCCTGGGGAAATCATCTATAAATAATTATAAATATATATTATACACATATAAATATATATATATATATAAATATATATATATATATATAAATATGTATGATATATATATATATATATATCATATATCATGTATCATATATATATATATCATATATATATATATATATTAATATACAATCATATATGTTCCTTTTTCTTTTTCCATTGCCATGTTTGATTTCCGGAGGGTAAACGGTACAACCCAAATAATATTGGCTGGAGGTTACCAGCCAATTTTTTAAACTGCTTTAACACAATCTATGAGAATTCACATCCTATTATTCTCCCACCCCATTCATATTAAACACTCCAGAAACCATTCGGTATGGCGCCTTTGGGCCCAGCGGATGGACCCGCAGCCATGGAAGTTGGACCATGGAAGCCCGACCGAGCTATGTGCTAGTTCAACAAAATGGGGCCCAACTTTAAAGCTTTCAAATCTTTGGATGTATGCTTGCTGTCGCAGAAACCTGAACATATCGGAATGCCTGAACATGTATGGATGTACAATTTACTGGAAGGACAGAAGTTTCCAGTTTGCCATTGCAGTTCGCGATACGCTGATTGTTGTGATGAACCAGTACAATACTGTTCAGCTGGACAAAACAACTAGAACGATCCAACCAGGCTAGCAACTGGGGTATGTCCCAATATTAGTCAATAGTCAACATGTTTTTGTTTGTCTTTATGTAAGTTATGTTCGGGGTCCCACAGCCAGTGAAAAGATACAGCAATCCTCACTTCAGATGGATCATCGCAGCCAAAGAGGGCTGCTCCAAGACGACACTCGCAGTAGTACATAATGCTGGCTACACACATGGACACATTTGGCTGTCTTCAGATATTTTTAAATCGATATATATATATATATACAGTAAACATGTCTATCTGATATCTGCGACGCTGCAAACAATGTAGAAATATAAACGTTCCATAGCTGCTCATCACATTGCTCTCCAAACTTCTCCTTGTGAGGCAGTATTCCCAAGCGCACCAGGGACATGATCCCCTTCCCAGTGCCCTTGGACGATGAGATGCAGGTTGGGCCAACGGTTCCGGATGGTTTCGGGAGATTTTTCTGGGTCAACTTTGAATGAAAATGGATGACCAGTTACACAGCACACATTTTCGTGGCGTCGTCCGTTTTTTTTTCCATTTCTTTGGCAGGCTGTCCGTTTCGGAGAATCCAAATAACATGGGATGGCTTCCTGCTGAAAATCGCACAACCCTAAATCCTTTTGAGCCATAAACCCGCATGACTCAGCAAGTTGATGGGTGAGTGTCGGTGTGAGTGTTGCTGTTTCTTTCTCGGGGGTGAAATGAAAAAACATGCTCATGTACCCAAGCTTTGTGGGCGGCTACCCAAAACCAACTGTCTACCCTTGATTTCAGTGACAGAGCAAAGCATGGTGGCTGGGATTTGTCTCCGGTCTTCACACCCCTTTCCCAGCACTGGAATCCTTGACGAGAAAATGACCTATCCCCCTTGAAAAAGAACACTTTTGTTTGGATCAAAACAAATGAATAAGACAGAAGATCAATGCATCAACAAACAAATAGGTACATGTACAAACAAGTTGAATAGGTGAGATTGAATGAATTAGTACAAAGATATCCTAACAAACAAATCAACAAAGAAACATTGCATATGTACCACTTCCCACCTGGGGCCCCATTGTGTTTTCCCAGGGCCGAAGATCCAAGATCTTGGTCCCCAGTGGCGCTTTGTTGGTCTGGGACTCGCGGCTCCCACACGAGAACTTTCCCAACGAAGGGGAGGACTGGCGCATCGTTACTGGGCGCAGAGCTGGGAGCTGCTAATTTTTTTTGGGGAGGGATGGAAGATTATTTTTGATGATGATTCTTGAGGGCTGGATGACTGAAACATGAAGAGCAAGCCGAAAATGAGTATGAACTGGTGACAACTTGATGTCCAAGATTTGCGGAAGGATGCATTTTCACTTTTTGACAGTCACTGCGCGTCGGTTCGAATGATTTTCCAAGAGATGGTCACATGGGGTTCTTTTCCTGTGTATTGATGCAAAGAAACACTGAGTCATTGAGGATATGCATCATGAAGGTTGAGGTTTAACCCTCATCAGCAAAGTTAGACCATGACCCAAGCCTGGCTCCATTTGAACTTTACATAAGCCTGGAAACATCGTGGCGAGGATTGTCACAAAATTCGCGTGTTTTTTTAGTTTGGAATTCTAGTGGATTTCCCGTGATTTTCCCAGGATTTTAAATGTTCGGTTTGGGATGGGTTGAAACAAGCCAGGTTTTTCAACGTTTTCCCCATCCGAGCTGTGCTTTTGCCAAGCTGTGCGCCTGACCAGGTTCAGTATGTCACCTGCAAGCGTTTGAGCTCAGCAGATCTGGAGGCCCGAGCAAAGGCTTGGCAGGTCGGCCTCAAAACAGGTGGCCCGTCAGCCAGTGGGGGCCTGGAGTGAAGAATTTTCGCAATTTTTTGAGGAAAGTATGGCAAATTATGGGTCAACCTCACTGGACCTCACCCATAGATAATTAGATACTGGATTGCAGGAAGTTTTTAAAATAATTTCCAGTCTAAGAAATAGAGGAATCTTCCCACCGGGCCGAAATCATCCAACATGCAATTGTTTATGGGAAAGCCAATGGTATTGGGATAAGATACCTCAACTTTCAATCACTCAAAATCGGAGAACCCCAAAGGATGATGACGGAAAAACCTCAAATTTCCTATGATTTTGGGGTTGCCAAGGTTAAGAAACATCCGGTTTGGGCCTATGGGTTAAAATGAAAGGCTCAGGAGACAGGAGATGATGGTAATAATTCTTTACTAGCCGTACTAGCCATGGGACCCGTATGGGAAATATCCGCATGATCTTGAGGCACCCTCCGTGAGTATCAAACATGGCAAGGGAATCCCAAATATTGTCATATGGAAAATGGGAACTTTCGAGCCAGCCATGTCGAATAGACTACCAAAGGTTAAGTGCTTGGTCGACCTTGGTTCCCGTTTTGGGCGAAACAGCCAATACAAAACAAGGGTTTGCATATCCCGGGTTATACCGCTGGTAGCCACATACCCCTTCACCAGTGGCTCTACCCATACCAATTTGGGTTGAATCCTCGAACTTGGGCTAAATCCCAGATTTTTTCATGGATTATATTTCCATCGCCTGTTGAACATCCCCATCCCATGGTCCCAGTCGTGGTTTCATCCCCTGAGGATTGATCCCCTTAGCCTTCGCAGAACGCTTCAGCACTTTGGAGCAGATCAGGTGCGCAGGGAGCCAGTGATGAGTCAGACGACCTTGGAAGGAACAAGATAGGGATGGAAGATTCCATCATTCCATCATTCCATCTGCTCAGATGGAAGAATTCGTGAGTGGTGGAATTATGTGTATACTGTATATATATATATACACACTGTATATATATATATATACATATCGCAGTTTCGGTATCAGTTTCTTGGGGGGTGCAACTCCTGAAGAACACGCACACCGTTCCCGATCCTGGGTGGAACTGGGTTCAGTTGTGGTTGGTGCATACCATTGGGAAGCCCGTGTCCAATATAATTGCAGGTCATTTTACATCATCCCAAACAGGGGATATACCCAATTTCATGAGCCTTCATTGGGAACGGTTTATTATTGGGTTTACCACATGACTGTTTCTCATCCTAAACTATCTTTCCAAATGTCAACAGCAACATTTTGTCGCTGTGCTGCATGTATTTCTAAATTAAGCCCACAACTTGATAGCTAGAGGAATGAATGAGAGGGCGGGTGGCCAGATCGGCAGATAAATGGATAAACAACGAACAGTCCAATACATTGAAATAGGTTCAACGCATGAAGAAATAGTAACATAATTAATGCATGTACAGATCAATAGCAAACTTGACTGACTAGATACACGAAAGAAAAACACACAAATCCAAAATTAAGACATTTCATGCATCGTTTCGCTGTCAAAACTATCTACACATGGTGGATTTTCCATATCAAAGTTAATTTACTGTAGGGTGACCTTGGCACATATCGGTTTTTGGTGGTTAAATCCATCTGTTGGCATCTTCTCTCATGTTCGATGGCTAGTTTCTGCTAATGCCTATTGGAAAGTAATCCATTATAATAACCCCATTATATATACCCTTAACGGTTTAAACATTGCTTAAGTTGATTATAATTATATCTATCATAATTTATGGTGGGCGGCTTTGTAACCTCATCATCCCATTATTGTTGTTGGCTAATACTAGCTTTGAGAAGTTCTGGTTCCAACATGGCGAAAACGTCATGTAACTTGGCCAATTCTAGCTCCAACATGTTGCAAATACCATGCCAAGTGGATGGCTGTACAGCTTCCAAATGGTGTAAATACACGGCGAACCACGCAAAATGAAAAGCTCTAGCTTCCAAATATTGCAAATACCACACAAAGTTGGAGTCCTAGCTCCAACATGGTGAAACCTTACATCATTTAGCAAGGTCTAGCCCCAAAGTCCTGCCAATACCATGCTTAATGCAAACTTACAATTCCAAATGTTGCAAAACCACACAAAACGAGAAGCTCTAGCTCCAACATGGTGAAAACCGTGCGTAATTTGGCAAGTTTTTTTGGCTCCGAAATCGTGCAAATGCCATGCAAACTGCACGGTTGTAATTTCCAAATGCTGCAAATATAAGGCAAACAGGAATCCAAAAAAAGCAATCCCCAAACCGTCCCGGAAAAAAACAACTCCGCACCCAAGACTTTTTGTTCGAATCGCCAATTTCTCCGATTAAACGTTGTTCTATTTTTTTCCATTCAACATGGTTACGTATCAATTTTTCGCCATGAAAGTGTTAAATCATAATTTTACCCGCAACAATGGTAAAACCCACCATTTTTCTCCATTTTTCCCATCAAAAATGGCTACCTCCCCCCCCGGTAGATCTGCACCATCGCCAGGCTGGGCATGTCCGCGCCCCACAGCGACGGCTTGACGCTGGCTTTCAGCGCCGCCGCGGCGCTGGTGCCGGAGCAGCTGGAGGTTGCGGCCATGAAAAACCACCAATAGATGAGCTATGGTCAATACTCATGGTAAATAACCATTAATAGGGGCTAGTCATCCAATGGTTCATAGGGATTTATGGTGGTTAATAGGGATTTATAATAACCATTATTTTTGGATCCTTATTATGGATGGGATGACCATGAACCATATAGTGAGTATTGACCATGGCTCAGATGACGATAAATATATCGAATATATCCCCAAGCGGCCCAACCGTACTTTTCCTAAAAGGACTTAAAATTGTTGGAGATGAAAAATGTTGAAGAACCACTGCAACAATTATAGTTCTTCATGGCATTTCCAGGAAACTAGCTAGGAACTTCCGAAAGGAATGGGAATAGTTGTCAATGTTTTTTGTTGGCTATATAGCTTGTAGCAACCCCAAAAAAGATTCAGAAAACGTTAAATGTTCCACTTCTTGCGAATAGTTGGATTGACCTTTCTAACTGATTTTTGGATTCGGATTGTTCTTTTCTATTTTTTTGGGGGTAGCTATATACAGTTCTATACATCTATATTCCATTTTTTTTCGCCGATTTGTTGGGATTTTCCCCAGAGCCTCTAGGCTGCGGAGAAGTTGCGGCGCGCCTATCGCCTGAAGCAGACGGCTGAATTGCCGGAGCAGCTCAAGGAGACTTGGAACGGTCAGCTGGAGGAAATCAATGGGGATCTATCCACTGAAATATGGTGTGAAAACAGAGAAACATATGGGGAGAGGGCTGATATTATTGGGGAAAACCAACTGGAAAAAAATTGGTACAAACCAATCTTTTGCTGTAATTAACCACCGAAACACATTTTTTGCAGGGTATCTAAGATTGGCAATGGAACCAGCAAAAACAATGGGGAGAAACCACCCTAAAGGAACTGAGGTAGTATTACAGTATATATCTTGAAAGATATGGTTAATGGATTTCATTCAATGTATACATATATATATATATATACACATGACATTTTATGGATTTAATCAATTCATTGGGAATATGCAGCAGAGTTGTGATCCGTGAATTGGGAATGCCGACAAAATCCAAGTAGAAAAGGCGATGAGAGAAGGTTTCGGACACTGCAATGGTCTCAGCGATTACCTCCGAAATGGATCATGGAACCTCAAAACATGGCCATGATCAATCTGAAAGTCATCTTCCTACGCCTAGAAGGCCTAGAATCCCATAAAAATTGGGGTTCCCTGTTGAATTCAACCGGGTGCAACATTTTATTGTCCTTAAAACTAGATCCAAAGCATCAGCCGCAGGAAGCCATGGCCTTGTTTCGGGAGGCCTTTAAAGTGACCCCGGCGCTGCAGGAGGTCCTACAATGGGTGGCCAAGGCTGAAAGCCCCCCGGTGAGATGGGATGAATTGCCATCCTCAATGAGTTGCCGTTTTGATGGGTAAGGATTTATAAACCACCCAAAATTGGAGGTTTGGAACACTGGATTTACCACATGGTTCAGAAAAAAATTGGACGACACTTGCCACATGTTTGATGATTCCACTAATTGTTGAATAATGTTGCGTCCCATGATTTGAAGAAGTTGCTGGGTTCCCAAGATTTATGGGAAAAGCGTGCAAAACATCGACTTCGCAACAATAGGATGGTTGCAATAGCAAACAGCACACAAACGTTTGAATTGCTCAAGATGATTGACTACTTGAGATGGACGATGACATATGGTTAGACGGGAATGGAAACAAGGAAATACATCGTCCAGAAACGGGGTAATTATACCTCAGGTTATTACCATTGAAACATGGGAAACACTATGTTGCAATCCATGGGATGGAATGGGGTATTCAAGTCCTTGGTCACTCTAGGATTCACATGAACAGGCATGTTTTGAAGCAGCAAAAACGCGCACATGGAATAGAACCAAGCAGAGATTAATTCAAAAAACATGAGAAACCCAATCAGAAACATAAACGTTGGTATTTAGTTGAATGCTATATATATATATATACATACAAATGTGTCTTAAAACCAACACAACGACCATATATTATATATATATATGCATTAAAGATGTTCATAGCTTTCCTCAATAAGCAGAGCAAACAAAAAATCAATGAAACCATGACAGCCACCACGACTAGAACCTGCCACCGCTCTTCACACCTTTGCTGTATCCAGGGTGAAGGTTTGCCATCCCCAGGTATCGTTGGATTCCTCCAATGGCATCAATGTTTCCTGTTTTGCGTGGGCGTTAAGTAGTGCAATTCTTGGCATATCTAGAACATGGTTGGTCCCAAAAGAGAAGCGATACCCCATGTTCTGGCCTTTTTGCGGAGAACGATGATCAACCAATCAACCATGAGATTTTGGGATACCCTCTTTTTGACCCCCATCGTGGGTTTTCAAAACACAGCTGGGCCAAGGTAGCTATTTGCCGTTCTGGATTCTGTGACGGCAGCGCCAGAGAGAGAAAACCTGGCACGAGAAGGGGACTCACGGAAATTCTTTGACAGGAAACTGAAACAAATGAGACAGAACTATATATCCAGCACACATTAAATGATAAATTTCCGTGCAGATGCAACTCATGTTTTTCATTTCCAACTGTAAGTGGCTATATATTTAACTGATGATTTGCTTGTTAAACCGTGATCGTGATTTTGGCTGCTTAAATGTCGACCATCCTACATATGAAGCATTCGCTTCCTGCTTGTTCAGCAGGGTTGGCAGGCTCGCTCTGGGGCCTATGATTTCGCTATGGTGAAAGAGGATGAAACCCAACATTTTCGCAGGCCGCCAGCGCAAAAATTATATCAAATCATCAAATTAATAACATCCGAAAACCTTCCATTCTCGGGGTTTCCATAGCATAGCAGTTTTCTTCAAGGCTCTAGGACTTCACAGTGGCAAGTGCTACAGTCGATTTCCTCCGCAGCCATTGAGCTGCGATTGTGAGAAAATTATCACCTCGCACCGCCCACGCGGTGTCGGCTTGGTGTAGACAAGGTGTTGGAGTAGCCGGTGCGGCAACCGGGGGGGTTATCCAGAAAAGTCAAGAGAGAAATCTGAGAGAACTAAGAAATACTAACAGTAAATAGGGGTATCAGCACTGATATAGATTGTAAAGTCTCCAAGTCGAGTATCCTCCAACAAGTCACCATTTGACCTTAGGAGCTGCGAAAACAGCTGGGCTTGGTCTATTCCCAATATTTGTGGGCTTATCAATGAAGAATCGGCCGGAACACAACACCAAACTCCCGCATCATTTTTGTGAGAAGGTCAAGCACCGTGTTTTTTTCTTCTCCTTCCAAATCTTTGACTATGGTGGCTATGGATGATTTGCAAGCCGTAAAGACCAAAGATCTGTTGGTCTCAGGTGGCCTTTTCAAAATGATTGCAAGTCACTACTGGATGCGAAGCCAACGCGTGCTTGGATATCTGAGGGTAGCTACTTAGCAATGGAGGCCCATAATCCCAAAGCTGGGTGGACATGCTCAGTTGGTTTTCGTCAAAAAAAGTCTGTCATTGCAACTGGTTTGTGACCCTGCTTCATACGTTGGCTTAATCCCAATTTTACAAGCCCGACTCAAAACTTTGAGTCGAAAAACAAATCATCAATTTTGGTGATGAAACGCATATTTCTTGGCTGAACCCCAATTTTTCATGGCTTCAACCCAATTTTGTCATGGATTGAACCCCAATTGTTCATCGACTTTTCGTTGAAAATCCAGGGCCCATGGCCGAGCTGAACACACTTCTGCGCGTCGAGGACGTAGGTTTAGTTGTAGTAAGCTTCAAAAAGATAAACGTGTACCACCATTATAAATGCACCACTGTTTGAGAGCTTTTTGGGGATATCATCTCTTGGTGGACGGTCAAACTTGCCCAGTGGCCCAGGACCCCCAGAGAAATCACACAGATATTGGTTCTGGCTCAAGGCCTTGGTTTCCTCAAGTAGTTTCACCCATTTGTGACATGGCCGAAGCTGACACCGTTGTCATGCATGTTAGTGCGACTCTGGATAGAATTCACGCCATTGACCAAACTAACCAACAGTTTGGGGCAGTTCTTTGGGTCCACTTGACTACCCCAATTCCAGCAGACATCCACAAGAAGGAAAAGGTGAGGGAATTGTTGCAATCCTTTCAGTCTCAGGAGTCTTCTTACTGGGCGAAAGCATTCATTTGTGCACAAAATATGGTCGACAGCGAGAATTTTGGATATGCAAAAATTTTCTTTGACGAGACCGAGGATGGGAAGCATTATCGCCTTCACTGGAGCTTTGTTGGCAGTTTCGCTGAGGCCTTTGAACTGGAAGACTTTCCTTTTGACTGCCAAGATTTTACGGTGAGTATGCATATCCGGTACTACAACAAAGACCTGCGGATGATTTTGCTCACATCTGACAACTCTTGTCGCTTCTCCAAAAGGGCCCTGTCCGTGATTCGAAATGCATGGTGCAAAGAGCAAATGCACATATGGGAAGATGAAGTGCCGAAAAAGAAAATCGAGGAACCTGGTATATCGCGGCATTTTTTGAATGTGACCTTAACGATGAATCGAATCCCAAACTACTACTTCACAAACATTATAAAACCAACTTGCATCATCACTACTCTGAGCGCTTGTTCCCTGTTCATGCCTGACAAAGATTTGGCGAATCGTCTATCAGCTACCTTGACATTGCTGCTCACAGCTGTTGCTTACAAGTACTTGGTTGCACAGATGGTGCCGCCGATTGGCTACAGCACAGCTCTAGACAAGTATGTTATGATCTGTTTCACTTTCCTCAGTCTTATGGCTGCAGAGAACTGCTTGGCATTTAAATTCCACCATATTTCTGAGCACGAAGCCACGATATGTGGCATTTTTTTTGCTGCGTTTGGGCTATACAATCTTAGCATTGGACTGTGGTTTCTGAAGGCCGGCCAACAACCTCTTCATAGCAGACTCAGCAAGAAATTTGAACGTTGGAATCGTTGGAGCCGCAACATCGGTGACAGTGAAGGTGAATTTCACAAGCTGATCAGAATTGATGATAAGGATACAGATTCCGAGGAAATGAGCTCTCAATGTTCCGAGTCGTCCGAATGAGGGAGACTGTTCTGCTCTGTGCTTTGACGTGGAGACTTTAAGTGCTTTGGGCAACATGATTGATGCTGTTCCAGCGCAATGCCAAAGATGTGTTGACTGTTTAAGCGACGAGACTGCACCGTTTGACTTGCTTTGAACTTTCAAGGGAATTCCTGAAGGGCTGATGTTCGACAGGCATGAAGAAATCACAGCACCATCGCTAGAGAGGAAACACAAACCTTTAGGTGACTTACCGGTCGACGCTATTGAGCAGTGATCAGGATCATCATTGATTCGTTTGATCCATTACACCCCATTCTTATTCGAGAATAGGGAACATACGTATCCGTATACATATTCAATTTCACGAAGGTTTTTCCCGAATGCGTAGCAAGGGTTCCCGTTTCACTCTGGGGGTCTGGGGGTTGAGGGTGTGTTCGCTCGACGTTGCGTTCGCGAGCGCAACCGTCCGCAACCGTTCGCAACCGTTCGCAACCGTTCGCAACCGTTCGCAACCGTTCGCAACCGTCCGTGCGAGGACCATATGGCCGTGCCTATGGGAAGTTCTGCAGAGGTGGTCATTTTTGGAGGTTTCAGACGTGTCGTTGCTTCGTTTCGCGTGGCAGGCGTGGCACTTCGTGACATTCAGACATGTTTTGCAACGTGTTGAAAATCGTTTTGCGTGGCAGGCGCAGTACTTTTGTGTCGTTTTCAGAAGATGTGTTGCAGTTTTCGTGGCAGGCGCAGCACTTTGGACGTGTCCAGCGTCATTTTTCGTGGCAGGCGCAGCACTTTAGACGCGTCCTGTGGCGTGTTTTTTGTAAATCGCATTGGCAGGGCTGCGTCAAGTGGTGACAAGGTGCAAATTCCGTGGCAGGCGTGGCATTTTCTGACATGTGCTGAAAATTGACGGAAGCCTCGCACGAAACATCGATTTTGAGGTTGCCAATTTTCGGGTTCTAAGGAAAACTCGTAGGAAAACGTCGATTTTGAAGTTACAAAGTGTGAAATTTGGAGGAAGTCTCGCACGAAATGCTCGTTTTGGTGCTCCCACCTGTCTCGTCTCGCGTCTCTGGTTTTCCCGTGGCTTCGCCGTGTCTATGGGGGAAGCTGCAAAACTTGTCCTTTTGTCATGTTGCCAACTGTGAAAATTGGAGGACGTCTCGTACGAAATGCTGGTTTTTCTGCATCCACGTGTCTTGTCTCGAGTCGCTGATTTTCCTGTGGCGTCGCCGTGTCTATGGGGGAAGCTGGAAAACGTGTCCTTTTCAAATGTTTCCAAGCAGGTTGTCATGCCGTTTTGCGTGGCAGGCGTGGCACTTTGTGACATTCCAACCTGTTTGATAACGCGTGGAAAATATCAAAATTGGAG